ACAAATCTAACAAATGGTCTTAATACAAAGGGCTTCTGGCATTCACAATGGAACTCAACCAAGCAAAAACTATTTTTAAATGGTGTGGGCCAATACATGGAATATTTTGTAAGTAGTGCACTTTGGAATGTCAATTGATACAAAGTTGCATATCCAGCATGAAACTATGTGTCCTACCAATTTACATGCCACATCAAAATGACTTATCAAAAATCAAAAAAATATTGATTCAGATACATTATTTCACAACTACATGATATGTGTTTCCAACATGTAACTTACAAATCACATACCCAAACTTTCCTCACACCAAAGCTTTATTATCAGAATTCATTCAAACACAACAATCTAAATAAATAAATAAATAAAAACATCATTCATACATGGATGAGATAGTTGTATCAATTTAAGATATTTTACACAATACCCAAATGACCAACATCACATTTAACAAAATATAGACAGTGATATCATATTTCAGTGAAAAATATGAAACCCATTATTCATTTTCTTTGCAAATTATATATATATATATATATATATATATATATTCACATACACATATTTTTTTATTAAAGAAAATACAAAAAAACTTACAGAATATTTTTACAAAATTAAGAAACAAATCACCCAGGAAAGAGCTGTTGGTGAGCTCTCCTTGTCATGCCCAGCTTCTTCTTTGTGCAAACCAAGGCAAGCAAAGGTTGCCATCCCCCTCCCCTTGTAAGCAAATTTTAGTGATCTAAACTTAAAACTCACTCTCACTCTCTCTCACACACATATACAACTGTACTGGGCCTCCAGTTCTGCCTCCAATCCCCAGGTCTCTCTAGCCCTCGATTCTCTCAACTCCCATTCAAGTTTGTTGGCTGTGTCAGACGCGAGGCACAGACATAAAACAAAAGAAAACTAAACTAAATTAAATTAAATTACTAAGTCAGATGTTGCCAAAAACTGGCGTTTAAACTCATGGGAAGTGAAAGTGTGCATGTCTTTTTTACCATGTGAGCTAATTGAGGAGAATATGTCAATCAAAACCTTTTGTTTTCAGAGGTCTAGAATGATTCAAAGCTCAGAGAGAGAGAGAGAGAGAGAGAGAGAGAGGTAGCTTATTTTCAGAAGAGCAAACTAACACCCAAAATTATGTTGGAGGTTCAAATTTCTAGCAATGAAATCACAACCATGCCCGATGGAAGCCAACAGTGTATAAAAAAATGTATAAAAAATTTGTATAGTTGGAGAGATGTAGATTGTGGTAGAAGGGTATGTGTATGGGGATGTGGGGGGTTGTTGTATGTGAGGGTGTGTGAGACAGATGCATGGCTTTGTGGTAAAAACAAAGTCACAAGGCAGAGAGAATGGCAGTGGCCACAAGGCAAACAAACAGGACTTCTCTCTGTCACCAGCAGCACAAACAAACACTAACTGCTCTCTTGTGTATACACATGATGCAGAGGTTTATTTTTAAAACAATTTTGTCACTCCCACGAGAAGGCTACAAAGGGGTCAATACTAGGAGCAACTCTTGACCAGTTTGAACAGGACGACTCCTCATTACCTTTTCTACCATGTGGACATGGGGAGTAAATATATATACCCAATATATATACATATAGTACGAGTTCTTTTCTATCTTATTTTAACTTTTGGGCTCAAACTTTGCAGCCCAATTTCTGGTACCTAAACACATGATTTTTCATGGTATTCTGGTGCCCTAGTCCCTGTTTTGATGCCCTACCATTGCACGTAATAGCAGACTTGGCTTCTACAACACGTAAAGATCTTTTGCGGTGATTCTCTTTGGCTCCCTCTTCATCTGTTTAATACAAGATCTTGCAGGCTTTTTATTGTGTGAACTTGAAGTGGTTGTATGGACAATATGTTCCCATCCATTTCATCCTCGTGCCCTAAAGTTCATCGGTGCTCGAACCTCACATCCCAATTTGTTGCACCTAAAGCAATCTTCATGGTTTGTTTGTAGTGTCCTAATCTTTACTTTGATGCCCTAATATTACATCTAATTGTAGTTTTGTCTTCATTGTTGAGCAACATTTTGTGGAGGTGATTCTCTTTAGTTTCTTCAAGGTGGTATACTTTGCCCCTCTTTCTTGTTGTTGTAGCCATGTGGTATCTATTGGGTCTTGGTTTCTTTTTGGTTGAGGCCCTTCTTATGACTTTTCTTCTAATCCTCATTGTTATCATCATGTATTAAAATTTCTTTTGTCCTCTTGAAATTATTGCTTCGATTGTAGAATCTCTTTGTGATGATAAATTTTTATTTTTTAAACTTTGGAGACTTTAGTTACATTGTTTTGCATGTAGAATGCTCATTCTTTAACAATTTAATTCATGTGTTTTAATTTTTTTTACTCTATTTGAAATCTATACAATTTGATTAGTTTTGAGTGAATAGTAAGATTATATAATGTTGTATACATGTGTATACAAATATATATATATATATATATATAGTATTCTGAAAAATGTAATGGATAGACATAAAATTGCTTTTCAAGTTCAAAATCCTCTTTCAAATCCTATTGATTTCAATGACTAAGGCTTTATCAAAGAATTATTACAAGGTCAAGACACATCTTTGTTGTGGCAATCATGGTTCATTAAATTTTGTAAAAGCACATTAATGATTTCTTACTAGAACAAGAAATAGAGAATATATATATATTATAGAAAATTTAAGTTATACATTTAAGAGTTTTTTTAAGTAAAAATCATCTATAAATAAATTTATTATTTGTAAACTAGTTGTAATTTCTAATCTTAAAATTATGTGTTATATACTATGTCATTTATAAATACTATTTTTTAACCATACATATATTTATATATATATATATATATATATATATAATTTTTTTTACATAGTCTAAAGAATTCAATAAAAGATATTCCATACTAAAGTTCCAAAAACATATATATTGGATTTATTATTTAAAAATTGGCATTATATTCTTATATAACTAAGATGATATAATATTATGTTTATAACAATAAAGAAAATGATGATGCTAAATATTTTCTTACTATTAGATATTCAATCTATAAAAAAATAAAAATAAAAATAAAAATAGAGTAAGCTTGTTTACATCTAACAAAATTAATGATTAGAATATCTCTAGCAAAATTAGTTTACTTATAGATAAATATCTAAAGATCATAATAAAGTGTAATTAAATAATTTGGCCAAAGACATAAACCAATTAAAAGGTTTTTTCCTCTTCAATTATGTTAGATATTACAAAAATTTATAAAATTAAATAAATTTATAAGGTATACATAACATTATTTCAGTAAGTATTAATTTTGAAAGTCAAATAGAGTAAAACTAAAATTCTTTTATTAAATCCATGATATGGAGCTTAGTTAAATATTTATTATTTTCTTCAAATTTCATGTTTGAGAGAAACATTCATAAGACAAAGAAAAAAATTAACCATTGTTTTAGATCCAAATTTAAACAAAAATAACATTATAAATCACTTAATTTCATTAAAAAAATTTGCTTTATGGTTCAATTAATTACTATCAACATAACTTACTACAACACAACAAAAACAATAAAATACTTTATATTGATTTATGTTATAAAAAATATTTGTAAACATTGGAAATCAAGTATAGACATTACAATTTTTGATGGTGCATAATGCAATTCAAGAGCAAAACAAATTAAGAAACCATATTAATTATAATTTTATAATTTTTATCATTATGTACATTAATATTTTAAAACATTTGTAATCTATGTATTTCTTGAATATATACATTTTTTGTTTCACACACACATGTTATATACATGTGTTTTACACATATGTTATTACATTATATGTATTATTTGTATAACATATTGGGATTATTTTATATGTGTACATACATACATACATACACACACACACACACACATATATATATATATATATATATATATATATATAATTTAAAGACATTTTCAGTAAAACAGACAATTTGGAGCCAATTTTTGTAAATGATTATTGAAATGTAAAGTTCTTAATGTATAAAGAGATCTTTTTTGGTATATGATTGCAAATCTTGTTTAAATGATAAATATTTTTGTAAGCATGTCATATATCAAGCTCTAAAGTACAAAAAAACAAAACAAAACAAAAAATAAATATATAAAAAATCCATTTAATTGTTGTAGAAGTACCGAATTATATTATTGTAGAATCTAAAATGATATTTGATATGGAGGTTTAGATGTAACTTGAAAGATTTTAAGAGAGCCTATTCTTATCATATCATTTTACCATATTTTTAAGGAAAATTTTTAGTAACTTGGAAAATTAAAAATTAAAAATATTATAAAATTTATTTATCTCATTATGATTTTTAGTCTACAATATAATAATTTGAATAAATTCTAAAAGGAGAAGCTATTAAATAGAGATTTGTAATGAAAGAAATAGTACATTTCACCTCAAAAGATCAAAATTATATAAATGATGGTATTATAAACTTTTGTAGTCTTGTGATATTGTTGTAATTGGAAATTTAGGTTTCTCAACTCTATTTTGGATAAGCTAGCAATATAGTTATTAGAGTGTTATTCATTGGATGCACAATGTTTTAGTAAAAAATCTCAAATATATTTCAATTTTAACTTCTTTGTTTTCTGTACTTCTATAAAACCCACTTAAATATCTATGACGCATCATTCTATTTTTATACTACTACTACTGAAATTCCATTATGTAACTATGCATTGTTGAAAACTTACATTCTCAAATACCAATACATTATGCGTTTTAATTCCAGTTTTATATCGATCACATCAAAACCCCAATTCTTGATTTTCAACTGTTCGACCAAAGAAAGTAATATGACTAGTACACCAGATTTCTGTCTAGGTAGCATTTTCGAAATCTGGCTGTCATCTTGTGAAGATTAACATAATTCACACTTACGTGCTTCTAAATCCCCACTCCTAAGCCAAGGTCCATACGAAATGCTTTGAAAAATGCTTACTCCACAATAGCTAAATGTATACATTGAAACAAAACATGGTAACATGCGAAAAATCAGTTGGTAATCGACATTTGAATCAGTAGGTAAACCTGCAAGTCTCAAGCAGCACAACTACTCATAGGGGAAAAATATCACAATTAAGCACACCCTGTGAAAGGAAACTGAGCTACTTGTCAAGACCGATTCATCTGGGAGATGATCAGGGGATCTACCAGAACCCTGTAAGTTGTCTACCAGAGAAAAGGGGGGAGGGTACCGCAAATTAGTAATTTGGTAAAGAGACTAAATCAGAATTGTTACACGATACTAGGGCTATCACCGGTCCAGTTGCACGTTGCGCGTTGCCACCGCGTGCGTATGCAATCAACAAGGGGTGCATGCTGAGCAGGTTCTGGGACTACGGCTGCAGAGCCTTGAGCGACCTCGCTTTGCTCCATAGCCTTATACTCCTCCACCAGGGCTATATCAGGGGTCCACTTAGGAGGAACAGATACCCGAACCCTTGTCAACCGCGGCCGTTGCTGAGTCACATCTCCGCTAGAGGCCACTGTCTTGGCAATACCGTTAAAATGAAAAACTTCAAACTGTCGCTTGTTAAGAACAGTACCAGAGTCCTTCAATCCACCCTTGCTCTTGTCAATCTGCATAAGAGCCTGCCATAGCTCATTCCATGTTACAATGTCACTGCTAAAGAGGTTGTTCAGCACATCCTGTGGCATTTGGATGTTGAGGTCAATTAGAATCTGCTGAAGAGCCTCAGGGCTAATGAACCCTCCACCGCCACTTTGATCATGGGCATCAAACGCCTGACGCACTCGTACCTCATGATCTTCAGTGTCAGTTTCATCTTGCACTGAGGGATCGAGGGCAAACAAAATACTGTAATGTGACTCACTCCCAATGACCCAAATAGGCCACTTGGGATATTTCAAATTGCGTCCAACTTGGCATAAGTTGAGCGATTCAAGGAGTGTGAGGAAACCAACTTCACAATTAGTTGAAATTCCTTTTATACTAACACCACCCAAGTCCATGTTGTTATCAAAAACATTGGGCACGGCCTGTCCGCAAAGCAGAAGATTCACAATTTCCTGCATTAGGCCAATCCAATAAAAATCAGCATTGTACGTATACCATACGCAGGCACCATAAAAGTTAATTCACACAGTCCAAAATAATCGTTCCAATTTTACTGAGTTCATATTTAATGGCCGTACTACTTTGCCGCTCTGGGATTTACACGGGATAACGTAAATTTTCTTTCTAAAAGGGTGTCCTGTACGACCATTCTGGAGTCCAAATTATTGTTTGATACGTTCGGCGATTCCAGGGAAGTTTCATTAATGATCGTACACATGAAAATGATACTTGATGAAATACCTGAGAGGCATGACCAAATGGAGATGTGACCATCGGTTGGGCAGGATCATCCCTGTCTGAGTAAACCAAGTCCTGATATCAAAACACGTCGTCAGAGACAGCAAAAGACACAGCAAGAGAGGCAAATGATACTCAAAGAATACTACCCCTAAGACTGCGAGCTTGAGCCAAGATGCAAGGATTTACTTTTGACACATCCGCAAAACTCTCAAGGGGTAGAACATCCAAGACAACATATTCCTCTCATGAAGAAAAGAAATACTTACAAGGCCTCTTGACAAGAGTAGAGAGAACAAAAGTAGGAGAGCACCCCATGGACTTCTGAATCCAGGCAGCGAACTGCGAAGTTGCTGGTGAAGTGTGGAAATGGACGTCACTGTAGACACTCTGATCAATCTGTGCAAATCCTTTCCAGAGCCAAGGCAGAGCGCTTCCAACGCCTTCGCAATAGCCTAATACAGTGATCAGTCAAGTCCGTGTCAACACAGAACCTCCTAAAGCAAATAGACGGACTGAATATTCTAAGGTGATTATTTTCTAAAGGTAAAAATACAACTGATAAATAAACAATAAAAATTTGGAGATGAAGTGAAAGTAAACTGTTCGAAAACAGATAAAAGAAAAAGAACTAAAACGTGAGACATTACAGAAAAGTAGCATTGAACTTTGTACGATACTATAGCAGTATCTGGACTAACAAATATTTAGGAGGTTTGATAACAAACCTTATCCAGTTGGTGTTCATTGCTGCCATACTCGCCGTACATTTCAGGAATGTCTAATACAGCAACCACAGCTTTTCGTTTACCTCCCGCGTGCCAAAGCGTCTCACCCATAGCCTGAACAAGGGCCCTGCCAACCGATCATACCGACAACAGAGCCGGTGAATTGTCAGCTTCAACGAGCCTGCCAATTGTAACGCAAAACTTCAAAAATTCACAAAAAAGAAAAGAAAAAGAAAAAGTGTCCACCAACGAACAACTATTCTCAGACTATTTTGTCCCGTGTTATGCTAACAGACAGAAACTAGAAAAGAAAATTATCCATCTGAAAAAGAATCATAACGATCTTCCAATTATTGATTGAGCCGCTAAAACCCAATACAGAGAGTAACTATAAAATCAGGCATGGAAGCATCTAAACTGCAAGTTCGTTGAAAGAAAGCCGCAGAACATAGAGATCCAGTTCTTTGGAGCATTACTTTTAAGGCATCGAAGTGCTAAAACATGGTCCTGACTAAAACCTGTTAGCTCTACCTTCAAAATAGTACCCATGATGTTCAATCACAGCGGATTTTACATTGCAACACATTTAACACCCTACCAGGTCCTTTGAGTATCTGAGAATATCAGCTTAACGTTGGCTGCATCACTATGGCCCGTCTGAAGTGGCTTCAAAGGGGAAGATCGCAAGGTAGGTTTGCTTTTCATACCAATGTCCTTCTCATCTTCCGTCGCAAATAACAGGTACTTCAAAACCAACGCCTGATACCAAGTAGAATAGACAACCGTTAGAATATTCAATCAACAACCACAGAAAAGTCTCAACTACTCATATGCTCCAAGACCAAGTTGACTCACATTGACCAAAATCATATCAGCCACTAATACTTTCGTAAAACAATTTGTATATCTAGAATCCCGTACATGCAGCTACATATAAAATGAAATAGCTCACTATTATATTCTGTTATTAAAAGTGTTGACATAGGATGAAACTTATATATCATTAACATGAATGAAAATAAACATAAAACAGGTTTCTATGGTATAAGCAAGGCCCTTTTGAACAAGTTTTAGAAATGACTTCTCGGCACGGCAACATTACATACTAAGGGTTATACCCGTCATTTCTAGGTCCTGAAATTATCAGGCCCCTGAAAGCAGAAGGATAGTCAACTACACGAGCCCACCTGGATTGGAGCCAGCACTCCGCAAGGTCCTCCTTCCTTCTGTACAAGGCCTAACGATGTCTCCGGATCAGGACTGAACCTGCAAAAATTTCAGACACTTCCAAACGTTAAAAAGCTACTTCGCCAACCGCCACAAAGCGGAAGTGTTTGAACATGAACACTACGCTCTATAAGGCTAATAAAGGCCAGCTTTAAGTTAAAAAGCGGGAAGACGCATGATTCCAATGAAGCCAGTAAACACAAGATGTTCTAAATACAATAAATGAGAAGATTAATAAGGGTGAACAATGTCGGAGCTATTAATATTAACAAAATGTGGAAAATTTCTAAATCTTTCAAAGGTTACGCGTTAAGACAAGTCGTGAAACTGAAGCTTACGAATAAAATCCTTCGTGGCAAGAAATAAGATGACGAAAAATTCCATTCAAAGACTGAATCGCTCAGACTATGCAAAAACATCTTCGGCATCGCTTGCAATTAGGACATCCGCGGGAATTGAAACCACTTGCATAGATTTATAGGCCAAATTTCCAACTGTTACTTTCTAGAATTTCGCCTTATATTGGAAATGTACAAAAAATAGGCAGAAAAAATGTGGCTACAAACCTAAAGCCTTGGTGACACCATTGACAGAGGACATCTTTAGAGACATTGGCACCAAACACCAGCATATACAACTGCTCCGCCAATCGCAACGGCAGCTGTTGTCGCTCTTCCTCCACCCTCCTCTTTCCTCTATTTACGTTCGCCTTCTCAGCATCATCCCGTAATGACGCAAGTCCTTCCTCCCGATCCGTCAGCTTCGTCGGAGTTCTGAGTTTGGTGAAGGGTGAAGCAACGGTACTGTCAACCGAAACAGAAGAAGATGGATCGAGGATACCAACGGCAGAAACTCTCCTTTGTTCTGCTGCCGCAGCACGAAGCTCACGCTGAATTCGACGGTCCATGGCTTCCGGCGACTCAGTGCTACCAGCAACGTCCCAAGATTTACTACGCTTGGCATCTGGGGCAGGCTGCAGACTCATTCGAAAAGCCCGTTGGAGCTCCTCGTCATCATGGTCCCCCATGGCCAAAATGGGATCCTCTGAGGTATCTATTTTGCCTGGAATGTATTCGCCAAAATCACGACGCCGGACCACTGGGATTCTAAAACTTCTCTGTGCCCCCACTTAGTCGTCAATATAACAACCCGTGCAAAATACAAAACCCTGCACCATACCAATACCGAATTGGAAATGCTACACCCGTGAACTCGACAGTCTCATCACTAATCCTGGAGGGTTTATGAAGATTAATAATCAATGTTGACCTCACGATCCTCCAAGAACACAGCACGAGCCCTAGGCCTGCTTCTCAAGGTTCTCGCAGCATCAGCGTCCACCCTGCAGATTTCCACAAACCCTAACTCTGTCACACCAGAGATCGCCCAGAATCTAAGCCAAACTTGCAAACCCCGAGCTAAAGCTATAAACGGCGTCCAAACTGATTATAGATCCAAATGCTCTGCTCCAACGATCCTCACCCAGATTGCCGATACGAACAACAGCCTCACCATCACTGTCGAAAGGGAGCTAGCTTAGCTACCTCAGTGCGCAATCTGCCATAAAAACTCCCGCCGCGAAGTCCCGAAACCCGCAAGAAATCCTTGGCGCGGAAAAAACCTTAAACTGTCAGCTCATTAACCCAGAGACCGACGCAAATCAGGCCATTCTGGGGGAAATTATGCATCGGGAACAACACACTCCAGTCCACTTCGGGAGACACAGAGAGACAGAGAGAAAGAGTGAGTGAAAAGGAGGCAGCGGGTTTAGGCTCCAATCGGGAGAGAGGGCAGCGGGTTTGGGGCACACTTATTAAGCCCCCCTTCTCCCCTTCGATGACCCCTCTTCCCCGCGCCAGCTCAGCGTTATACCTGTGCCAGATCAGCACGGCGGCACACCATCTAGGCAGACCTTTCTTGGGTGCTTTCTGGCCCGGGTGTGGATGGATAGATGGGTCGCAATGGGTCACAATGGGTCGGGTCGGGTCGGGTCCAGCCACCCCACCCGTTATTTCTCTTATTGTATGGAGTATTGAGGGTCGGAATTTGCTATTTTCACTTGGCTACATTAATCATTTTATATTATCTCCAAAATATCTTCATTTAAGTATGTATGTGTAGGAATATATATATATATATATATATATATGTGTGTGTGTGTGTGTGTGTGTATGTATAGCTCAAAAAATTACATGAAACTTAGAAAACATTAAAAGCATTTTAAATAAAATTTTATGTTTGCTTTGAATGATTTTTGTGATTTGTTAATCTATTTTCTTTAAAATTCATTATTGAGATTAAAACCGATTGTTACAAGACTTCTTAATTTTATTTTATGGGATCTAAGCAGTAGTCACTTCAAATTCTTTATTTTCTATATGAAGAAGATGAAAAATTCCCTTTAGTTAGTGCATAGTGTACTCATACTCAACTATTTTTATGAAAATCATAATACTAACTATATGTATATATATATTTATTCACACGCGTAAAATAAATATTACAATCTAATAGAAAGCATAGTTATCATGTCATTGATTACGAGTAAATTATACAACTATTAAAATGCTTATATATATAGTGCTTCAGGCATTCTTTTACTTTTAGGCGAATAATCTTCAACTTTGTGACTATAAATATTTTCTTTCTATCCTTCATTCAGTCTTTCTAATCAGCAAATGTATTAAATGTATCTACAAGTCTATGCTGTGCCAATTTGTTGGAATGATTCAGATGTAATAAAATTAGAAATATGGACAGAAAATCACTGTACTTCTCAATCACCACTTTTTATTGTTTTTTTAAATTATAACTTCATCTGATGTAAATACTTGTACTTTAATACTGAATAATAATAAAAGACGTATAATTTGGCAAAAAAAGCAAAAAAAGGAGACATGTGTACTTCAATTTTTTCATTAGAGAGAGATTAGGAATAAATATTCGTTTTTACATTCTATTGATTATAGAAAACTTGCAATGTAGTTTTTATTTTTATTTATGCATTTATCTTGCACTTTTTTATTTTTTATTTTTATAAATCTTTCATAGAAAAAAATAAAATAAAAATATGTATATATATAATTTAGATGGTACAGTTTATTCAAATGAATTTCAGTGTTTGTAATTTCTTTTGTTGAATTTCAGAAAAAGATTTGATAATTTTTAAAATTCCAAATATAAACATCATTTTAGAACTGTATATTTTTACAATACTGTTTTTTCACTTACTACAAAATTAAAATAAATAAGTAAATAAATAAATAAAAGCATATTAAGAAGAGTATTTTTTCCTCTTTTCTCTTTCTGTTGAGTATTTTTTTAAAGAGATATCATATTATGAATCTTGATGTTATTCAAATCCCTCTACTCTCCCAATTTTTATCTAAATTTATTTGATGTACAATCTATATTATTTGCAAAAAAGTAAAGAAATAAGTACATTTTTAAAAAAAAAAAACCTATTTGAATCGCTGTATAAATACAAAGCATTCAAACACTTTACATTACACAACAGAAGGCTATCTACTTCACCATAGATATCTTAAGCATTATTGATAAGATTTAAGCATATGTTTCTTTGATCAAGTTCAAGCAAAGAAGAGTACGTTTTTTTAATTTTTTTTTAATAATAAATAGTCAATGTAAAAAGTTAAAAAAAGCTTTTCGGAGGGATGGTGTAAGTTTTTGCTGTGTTTTTACTTGAGTATACATACATATATATATATATATATATATATATATATGATGCTGAATTGAATTCCTCCCCTATAATAATTGCACATAAACCATCATCTTAGAGACACATAATTGTGGAAGAAGTTATTTTTACAAACAAATACATGATTTTTTACAGAAGCGTATATATACATATACACCTATAGATATATGTATTAAATTTTTGACATAATATAAATTTTTCTTCTAATAAAATTTAAGACTATTATCCAAAAAAATGATCATATAAAATATAAAATAAAATAAAATAAAATAATTAGAAATAGAGCCCAATGCATCTAGATTAATGAAACATAGCAAAAGTAATTAAACATTTTAAAACAAGTTTTGAAATAAATATACATCTATTTTTGTTTGTGTATATATAACTATCGTTTCAATCAAACATTTGGCAAGAAATTTGCCAAAACATTGATTATAATGTTAAGGAAAAACTCCTTACCAAATTAGAACAAAAATTTAAATAGTTTATTATTGAATTACCTAGTTTATTATGTTAGATATCTAAGCAATAACAAGCTCTTGCTCTCTCTCTATTCATGATTCTTTCTCCATTTATTTTTTTTAAATGTTGAAATTAAAATTTTGTATATCATTCTTGTGCTTCAAGTTGGGTGTGTATTTAGGATTGCTCATGTTTCCCAAGGTATTGTCAAATTTTTTAAAATACTTCGAACCACCTCAAGACGAACAAGCAGAATGTGCAAGTTGAAAATTTGAAAGGTTTATATTTTTGTGATGATAAAGATGACTTCCTCGAATAAGTCTTGTACAAGATTCTTACATGAAGAAAAAGTTTTATTGTTTCTTATATTTGATTTTTCTTGCTCAAATGGACAAGTTTAAAATACACCTCAATAATGTCAAACACTGTCGTGTACTCATATTGGAGAAAGGCCAACTTTTTTGGGAAAATTGCAGATTTATTTTAACCAGTGATGCATAGTTTTGTAATAGTATTTTACTCCAAAATGTATTAATTTACTTAATTAATAAACAAAGAAAAAAAATCATAAGTTAAGAATGGGGTTTTTTGTTTTATCTTTATATCTCTTGTATTTATATATTCTATTTTTAGATACGAAGCCAAAATGATATGCTTTGTTTCAGGAATTAATTCTAGATCCTTGATGATATTTTGGGTTTTTAGATTTTTGAAAAATAAATAATAATAAATTTGAAGGCATTTTTTATTGTGATTTTATCACCAAAAAATCAACCATGTATGATATTGATGATGTGTTTCTGTGATATATATGTATATGTATATATATATATATATATATATATATTATCATCGTTTAGAAAAAAGAAATTCCTGGAAATAATTATTTCTTAAAAAAAACATGCCAAACATAAATTTAAATAACAGTTTGAATTTTTATATTTTAAGATAATGTCTTCTGATTGCGGTAATTTTTTCAATAGCACAGGTAGTTGAATATCAACTTGTGAATTGTTTATGAGAATAAATTATAAAACTAATGTATCAATAAATAAAACAGTTTTTATAATGTTACCTTTCAAAGGTCAAAACAAATGATTTTGAATCCAAAAAAGGTTATCAAGCACGTCAACATGCACATTAAGATTGTCTCTATCTTTTGTATTTATAAATATATATTCTTTTTGTTCACAATTTATTAAATTTTAAGGGATATTTGTATTTAAAGTTTTTTGGTCTAAAAGTCTTGTGAAAATCTTTCAATTTATGAATAAAATTTGTCCTTTGAAAACCGTATCCTTTCAAGTAACACGGTTTTCAAAGGACAAATTTTGAATAATAGTCATAAATATGACCATTGTTCACTTAAATATTGTATAATCATAACATTAAATATAGTTGTTTATATCTAATTTACAAATTTTATTTGGAAAGACAATAGAATATTTGAATGAATATATATATATATATATATATATATTTTGAAAATTCACCCCTTCTTTTCTTCTTGCAGCAGGTTGGCTAATATTTTTAAACATAAAAGCCAACTAAATTAGACTTCTCAATTATAACCAATAACAAACTTTGAAAATTAGGACAACTTGTCTTCTCCACTCATCATAAGAACTCCTTTGATATATAAAAAAACAATATATACATGTTTAAGAAATGAACTGACAAGAAAAAAAACTTTGGGTACTCACCGTCGCATTCAATCTCGCTTCACCATCTTCAAAAAGTAAGAATTCCACTCAACAAGTGGCAGAAAATAGCGCATAACAATCCAAAGTTGGATATTTTACCAAAGCAGTATTACGAGTTTGTGCGAAACCCAGTTGACGACTATTGCAATCGTTCTTCAAAACCAAGCAATCTATGTGGGTCCTACGTAACACTTCTGGAAACTCAACGATTTCTACATAAAAATGGTGTTAACGCTTTGTCCAGAAATTGGATCCACTCATACCGCATTCAAAGCAATTAGCAACAGTCATCGCTGTTGCAAAGTTCTACAGTAATTTAGTCTCAGTGGATCATTTGGTTAAAGTGGCACCGGAGAATTTGTTCTAGTTATGGAAATCCAAATCTTCTCTCTCTCCCCACAAGTCGTAGAATATTCGAAGGTGGGCTTGTTGTTATGAGATCATCACCACTTTGCCACTTCAACAGTAAATTGCATTTTCATTTCAGGGACGATATCGGCAATGGTATCCACATTTTCGACGCCTTCTATGAACAATGGCAGAAGCTTGTATTGATCACTATCTCACCGTGTGTGTGTGTGTGTGTGTTTATTAGTCATGTACTTCGAAAGGTTATTCCAAAAATTCTGATTCCCTGTGCACATCGAGAGGTTTCAACAGATTGTAGAGGGTTGTAATGAGAAAGTCTGTGGGCTCATTAATAACGAATTCAGATAGTGGGAGACGTGGGCTACGCTTCAAAGACTATCACTATGAGCGCTTTAGTTTTTTGCCAACAGAGAGATTCAGTAATAATCGAAAACTAGTTCCAAATCTCGTGACCTGAATTTGTAAACTTTCAATCGTCTAGAATAAGACCACGTGTTTTGT